AAAATACATGGAGCATTATACAGTATATAAAGGCGCTAGTTTACCAGACATTGGATTTGTATTTCTGCCCATCCAGTCCTGCAACATATTGTACAACCCTGTCTGGCAAAAAAAAAAAAAAAAGCAGCAGACTCTGCTCTCCCCTCCCATCAGCACATCCCTTGTTAGCGCATGAGGACTGATTGGCTCCTTGTTATTCCGACCACTTCTGGTCTGAGCTCTACTGAGAAGGTGGTTGCAGGTGGCTGATACCATGTGAAAGGCACGTACTTACAACGCTTGCATTTAAAAATACATTTAGTTTGGATTATTTGATTGCACTATTACTGTTAATATAGATGCATACTAATGTTGGGGAGGACTGCCGTATATTTGTCCCCCTACCTACCTGGCCGGCCTGTTACTGATTGGAAGAAGCTTGGGGGCGTGTAAACCCTTACTGTTACGATATGGCACCTCCTGTATTTGTTTTATTCTTTTACATTGTGTATTGTATCCTTTGAAACATCAATAAAAACTACATGCTAAAAAAAATAAAATACATTTAATAAAAGTCTCTCCTAGTATTATTTTTACAGTTCAGTCAACTAACTCCCACAGTTTATGTCTCTCTTCATCCCATGCTCCTGCAAAGGTCTCGATTGACAACACTTATATCACTGTCCTTGCCCTTTCCCAGCACAAAACAAAGCCCCTCTTCTTGTTTTAGTACCTGTGCTAATTTCTGTGAGAGCATGTCCTCTCCCCTGCATTCCTGCGACCTCCTGGGAGGTCTGTCTCCTTTGCAGAGCATGGTTGGAAATTAATCACACAGAAGCATGGGATATAAAGCAAAACTACTTTAATGCACACAGCGCTGCATTCATTTGTATTGTATGCAGCTTCTGTTTGGTGTGGCACATGTTGAGGGGGAGTTTATCAAAACTGGAGCAGACAAAAGCTGGAGCAGCTGTGCATGGCAACCAATCAGCTTCTCTCTTTCATTTTCAAATCTCAACTGAGCAAACTAAAGAGAGATGCCGATTGGTAGGGATGCACCAATACCGGTATTTCGGCATTGAGTACCAATATTTCTTTTCCAGTACTTGCCGATACCGAAAGTCCCCTTAAGGAAGCCAGGCGGGGTGTGCATTGACTCGTCACCTGGCTTCCTGATTAGCCGGGAAACCGTCTCAATGTTCCCGTCACCGGGTGACGAGGGAGCATGGAGCTGGCTTTTTGGCTAATCAGGAAGCCGGGCGCCGTGTAATGAGTTGCCCGGCTTCCCGATTTGTCAGCTTATCAACCAATCTGGAAGCACCCATGGTGTACATATGCACCCAGTAAGCAATTTCTGCATGATAATTCTGATTGCCAGTCACCTCTTCATTACACTCTCCATATTGATCTCTGCTGTACTTTATATTTCAGGCCACAGGTGGTGTCCCCTTTGCCACCCTCACATGTTTCCATGTTAAGAAGTTGAGTTTTCCCTCTTAGTTCTTATATTTGTCATTGTCTGACCAATCTTTTACATAGCAATATAGAGGACTCTGTTCATCTGATCAGAGCTTACCTGTGTAAATGCTCACAGAGAGGGGCATTGTTTGACATGAAAATCAGCAGAGTTCCATGATTTTAATTGAGATCAGTTCTCAGGTACTAAGCTGTGGCCTGCTATCACCAAGGATTTAAAGGGCTATACTTACCTGGTGGCTACTATCCCACTGAGACCAATGATTTGGAGGGACTACTCAAATTTGTCAGTGTTAAATTACAGTAACTGTTTACTACCTTTTTTATTACATTTAAAATACACACTTTGCATTCCCAAACTTCTATTTCATGGGTATAAAATTTGTATTTAGCTTTGGAACACGGAAAGTTTTAGAAGAATTCTCCAGGCCCTGGCTTCACCAAAGTTGAGAATACCCGTCTTAGCAGAACGCTGTGATGAGTAAAAAAAAAATACAAGGCCTATTACCTTGCTAGGAGTAGCTGAATATCTTAATCACTAAGGGTGCCCATATACTGTTTGAATTTCACAGTGTGTATCCTTTTCGGCTGGAAAATCTTTATACGACCAGGGCCGGCAACCAATGAGCTGCCAGCCCTGGTCAGGTATTCTGGCTACTGTCAGAATACAATGCAAACAGGATTCCTCAAAATCGACAGTGTTGGAGAAATCTGCTGTATTTTTTTTCGTTCATACTGTGGGTAAAACGAAAAAGAGAGCCAGCCTAAGTGAAAGCAGAGATTTGGCTTCATACAGCTGTTCCTTCAAATTCAGTGAGGACCAGCAAATCCAAGTTGGATTGCGATCCCTGAATGAGGGTATTGGCACTGTCCCCCCCCAAAGAGGTGCTAGTCAAGGGTGCTTTTCACAACTTGCAGAAGCCGAGAGGAAATAATGCTCAGAAACCAATTATGAAAGGGCCTGGGTGCATTTGGCCACAATGCTCCACCAGATTCCATTGAGTCAGTTCCCACCCAAAGCTTGGGAAGTAAAACCTTCGGTAATACAATAGCAACTGAACCACAAAGTACAGCAATACCAGTCTCAACTACACCAAGCACCACACTAGGCCAGGAGAAAAATAGAGGCAAGATTCCCCAACCAGGTGCTGCATGCAGGAAACGTCCTCAGACAGGAGAGTCTTCAGAGACTGGGACATTGGCTGCCACAGCTGGACCAGGAGAATGCAAAGCAGTTAATCCAGACAGGAGTCAGCTAACATGACATATGTGCTTAACAGAAGACACAGACATGCCTCTTCAGCAACACGATCATTATAGGGCCGTTTCAGTGAGATCACCAATATTTAAAGGAAACTGGAAGCTGTACTTAATGTTTGCCAAGATTTAATCCGGCCTAATTCCGCCATCGGCAGTTGAAGAATATCTTCACGAAAGTTTTGAAACAGCAGAGCTGAGAAAGACATTCAACGTCCTAGAGGGCACTTAGTTGGATTGGTCAGACTAGTTATGGAAAGAGTTAGGACTTTTGGGGACGGCCTCCAGTTTTTGTGCCTCGTGTCCCCTTGGTTCATGAATATGAAATGTTTTATTCCCTTAATAGACAAAGAAAAAAAAAAAGTTTAAGTTGATGTTGGTAGTTAAGTGAATATACTATTAACATCTTGAACTGCAACTTCTAATTGAACAGTAAAATCAGTCTTTAAAGAATGTATTATTTGAACGTGTATTTATGTGCAAAGCCACCTAGCATTTTATAAAAAAATAAAATATATAATCTACAGGGATCCAAAAAACCACTTTCCCATCGCTACCCGTTAACCATCCCAATGAGCAGTATAAATATATAAAAGATCACAAGCATGCAGTGCTGTGGCAACTTAAATGTACATCAAGTGTCAATGCTCTATCCACCGACCTAAAACAAGCATGTGCAGGAAATGCAAAAATAAGTCACAAGTGTCTTTAGCATGTTTGTGCCAGGTAATCTGTCAGGGTCTCTACTGCACACTAAATACCTGGCATTTGACTGTTGAATCGTATATGCCTTTCAATTTGGGCAGAATTCAGGTTCCCATGTGTAGCTTGTGCAGACTATGCAGTTTACCTTAGAAAGGTTTTAGAAGTCAAGTTCACTGACACTGCTGCAAGTTCTTTCCCCTGCTTCACAGTTCAAAAGGTTGTAAGATCTTGCAGTGCCTGCATAGCATCGTCTAACAATACATAAGGTTAGTTTAATGTACTGGTGCATTTGTTACAGTACCTAACATGAGCTGGCATTGCAAGCAGGTATCTACTAAAGTTTAGAAGTACTAGTTTTAGAATGATATGCTTTATGAGTGAAAAAATTAAATGGACATGCACCCTACGGTACATGCGGAGGGGCTATACGCAATTAGGTCACATTCAGACAAAATCAAGCAGGAAAACCACTTTCTATCTAGTTGATAGTTTATAGCACCACCTAGTGGCTAAACCAATGTAGACCGTTTTACTGTTAAATAAAAATATTCCAATTATCAACAATGTGAAAGTATTTAGTTTATTTTATCCATATATACATGTATACACATCAAAACAAAAACTAAACAGCAAAATAAAAAACTTTTTACAACATATAAAGTGGGAGGTCACCTGAAAAATGAAAATTCTGCTCTCTAGATTGAGATTCTGGAGCCCAGTTAGAAAAATTGGGAGCAAAGAAAATGGAGGATGCTGCTCACAGCGATTGATTTCACTTTTTCTCCCGTTCACATTAGAATGAAGACTATGTGAAATGTGACTGTGGCCATATTAGTGCACTTTGTTATTTGTTGTACTGGAAGAAGAGGATTTGTGGAACGCTTGCCCTGGAAAATGAACTGTCAGTGGACCTGAAGTATTATGTACAATGCCTCCCTCACCTTCTCACTAGTTACTATGGGCAACAGATTATTTTTTTTCAAGCAAATGTCTTTCCTCAAGTTTTCCTATTTGAGCTTTATTTTCCCCTCCGTTTATTCTACACAAAGTGAATTGGAGAAGATACCAAGTCTAGATGTAATGCAAGTGATGGAAAGATTCTAGTTATAGTATTTTAAGAAAACATACCATAAAACAAAAGCCTGCAATGTCAATGGATTCAAAGTGGGAAGCAATACACAGCTTTACCTGCCAAAATATTTGTAATTTAGCCCAGCCACACAATCATGCTTCTACTGCCTGATCACACCCCAACAATTCCACACAGGTGATGCAGATTTGTTGTCGAGCAAGTGGGAAGTAAAATGTCATGTAGGAATCCATATTCTGAACCAAAAATATAGGTATGTCACCTGCAGAGAGGAATGGCAGTACAAAACTACAAATCATTTGGCACTTAAAACCAAAAACATACGTTTTCTAAACTGTATTCTGTCCGTGTAGTTGCTTCTGATTTAGTGACATACAAGCAAGATCGGGGATCCACTAAAATCAGTCAGCTGGGATATTGCACAGTGTCAGTGACATTAATAGTAGACTGGGAATGTCCTTCTATGGCACTTGGTACACATCCTCAGCACAAGCGTTCTGCAGTAGGAGAGAGTCAAATTATTGTATGTATAGTAGTATTTGTGAGCATTCAGTCCTTGGCATCACCTACACCATCTGCATTGATTGCAAACATTGCCTCAGCCTCAGGCAGACAAGGAGAGTCATAGATCTTACAGATTCGGGTCTCTCCTCTACCTTTCCGTAAGTAAAGTCTGCATTAAAAAAAGGAAGAGAAAAAGTTACATTGGTTGCACACAACTAGAATTGTCAAACACAAAAAAAAATAAATCAAATATTGTTAATATTCATGGCATACCTTGTAGTAGACGCATGTGCAATAATATTTCCTCCAATGGGTTTTTTAGGATCAGCAGCAAACATGGCGGCTCCATCCACCTGTGCTACAACCTGGTTTGTAATCACAACAGCCACACCAAACTGTAAGAGAAAATAAACCAAAACACATCTGTAAGGCAATAATATCTGGTACTGTGGTGCAGATGTCTTAACATTGAAGATGCTAAAATATACAACTTCACAGTGCAAGATTAGTGAGCAAGAATATACTGTGTAAACAACATCTCCATACCCCGTGAAAGTCTGCTTTGTTCTTTATTGCCCATCATGGTGGATAAGTGATTTAGTGTTGTGGTCAAGCAGCGTTAGGGTATAGAACTGAATTCTAATGACATGCTTGGGCTGATTTACTAAAGGCTTTTTTAAACCATATTATCTAGAACCCCCCGCACAAAAAAACCCCCCAAACACTGACCCTAGCATGTGTCTATTACTAGGATAGGAATATTAAGCTAAGAAGCCTTTTCAAGTGCAGGGGCTGATGGGAACGGCTCCATGTTCTCTATAAAATCACGGCAGTTTAGATTACACTATACAAATACACTATACAAATAATCATAATCAACTTAGATTACAGTTCACTTATTGATTACGATTAGTAGCTATAGGTTTTTAGCACTTGCCTAATTTTAAAAGCCTGTAGGTGTTAGAAATACTAGACAGATTTTGTAACTTATTCTACATGGAAGGATTTGGAGGAAAACTATGGAAAAAGCTGGCCAATCAGGAAGCCGGGGCAGCGAGTCATTACCCGCCCCCAGGCTTCCTGATTGGCCAGAAAGCCGGCACCACTGCTTCCTCCTCACTTGGTTAGGAGGAAGAATGGAGCCAGCTTCCATGCTAATCAGGAAGGCGGGAGTCATTACACGCAGCCCAGCTTCCTTAATGGGGCTTCCGGTATCGGTATTGGCGAGTACCGGAAAAAAAATATTGGTACTCTTTACAGAAAAACCGTCATCGGTGGATCCCTGATATGGTCTATAGCAATATTTATACATCCATTCAGAAGGTATAGCCTAGCAGATGTATGATTTTTAACGGGGGTAGAATTATTCAACTTTGGGCAAACAAAAGGTTACATTTACAAAGCCAGCATACCAGGATAAGGAGATTTCCAAAAAAATAAACAAGTCCAATGGGATTTTAACATTACAGTCAGATGGCTAAAGAAACTACCCTTGTGTTAAAGCCCCCTGACACATTCCTTGGATTTGCACAATTTGGCTTCTTTCAGGGTCAGCACATTCTGTTGCTGATCGCACAAACTTGGTGTTTATGAAAGATATACTATACTCCTTGCTTAAAATATCATATTAGCATACACAACACTAACCTCATCAGCAAGTCTTAGAAGCATCCTCAAGAAGCGGGCCAAGTGCATTTGTCGTGCTGAAAGTTCCCCTCTTCCCGAATAATCTGTCCTATATAAAGCAGTAGCACTGTCCACGATGAGAAGTGCATATCTACAGAAAAAAAATACAATAGAAAAAGACAAAAAACAATTCGTCATTGGATAATAAAACAGAGTTCCAAAGGTAATTGATACAGTAACAAATAAAATCTAACTTTTGTATTGTGCGATAGAAAGCTAAAATTCACACACAAAAAAAACCCACATTCCTTGCTCACATTCAAATAATTTAAGAAAAATCAGAACTACACTGTCAGGTACAGTATTCTATAAACATCATTGAGACTTCTTAGCAATTTACCATTCAATAAAGGTAGGCAGTGATTTTATGTGAAACACCAATCTGAATCTACCCCAGCAGCATCACAAAGGACCCCATATCAAATATTGCGACATTAAACCAAGCACATTTACAGCATGGAAAGGATACCATTTCAGTAGAGGGTAGGTAGTATATGTTCTGAAAAGAAAAAAAAAATAGAAGAGGTTGTTGCCAATCTACTTTTGGGAAAGCAGCTTGAGACAATAACCCTGGTGCCGTATGGAACTGCCGGAGAAGACTTTAATGCAGTACTACTTTTGGATGCGTGAATGTTTGACCACATTAGTAGTTAACCTTCCTCCACTTGAACTAAAACCAGAAAAGTGTCTTAAGAGCAGGCACTTCCAAGTGCTTGCCATATCTTCCCTGTGGGGCACGTAAGCTCACCCATCCCATGAGTGTCTCATTGGGTAGCTAGGTACATACTGGAGTGTAGTTTGGAAGGTGAGTGTCCCAATAGCAGACAACTAGTTATAGTTGAAATTATTTATAAAAAAGAAAAAAAGAAGGGGGCTCTGGGGAGAAGGAGTAGTGGATCATACCACCATCCATAGAAGTTTGGTGGTATGGTGCAGATGAAGCTCCGATGGGCGGAGCGAAACGCATCCACCCTTGAGTGTGTGTTACACATGCTATGTCACCCACACAAACGGCAGCTCCCTTACGGATCATTGGAATTACTTTGTTTCCTGAACAACGATGAGTGAAATTCAAACGTCTGGAAGTTACTAACATATTGTGTTGAAGTACCGAAAAATCCTGAGGTATCTGAACAACTATAGAACAACCAGTTACCGTAAATAGTGCTTAACTAAAGGAAACTCCTTGGCCCCCAAAAAAAGGGGGACAATAAACGGACTAACCTCGCAGAGGTATTAAGAAAAACCCTGGGATCAGGAAAAGCCACAGACGAATCAATTGTTGGTGATAATGTTGAACAAACGGAACTCCATGGATTCGAAAAATGGAGGGGTACGAGACAGCTAACTGTGAGTACGGTCGACTATTATACAAGCTCCACTGGTCCCACACAGGTCTCCCCCTTGAAATAGATCCAACACCAGGAGGAACTTCACTGCACTGGGAAAGTTTGAATAACTTTATAAAACAAAATAATTGAGACTCTCTAAACGAATTCACTCATCAAAAGGGTTGATATACTGAGACCAGAGCATATATACATGATTATAGTGGATTGTTTTTGCCTCAAATTGTACTGATTATAGAGACTTCCTTTTCCTCAATTACAGACAAACAGTCCCTATTTCATTATACTCTTTATGCATCAGGTGCCACAAACAGGTCAGACCTATATCTCAAAGTAAAACTACTGTTCAGATTCTTCCCCCTCTTATTGTTGTATCTTTGGTATCTTCAAAAGCGGGAAAAGAAAAAAAGTACCGAGAGGGACCAAGAGTTATATTGGGAGAATTCCCCCTTTAGAAGTTTTGAAGATAGTAATTGCCGTAATCCGTGTGAGTGCATAGTATGTATGGAAGAATGCATGTATGAATGTTATGGACAACGTTGTTCTTTTATGAAGATTTTTTGTAGAAATGGAGTAACAGGTGCAGAATATGAGATTTTGTAACAAATAAAGTTTATACTTTTATAAGAAAAAGGTCTCGGTCTGTTCAGTAACCATCTTTCACAGTGTCTTTTCTTTTGAGAACACTGTTACCATTTTTCTGTGCTCATTACCTCTGGTTACATGACCTGGATGACCTACCCCAATAAACATAAAGGGATATATATGGTATATCGGAGCTCCAGGGAACAAAACACATTTTTTCTATTGTAGTGGATCATACCACCATCCATAGAAGTTTGTATGAGGCAATACAAAAAAAAAAAACAAAGCTACGTTCCTACAGTGAAATTACACTCTTAGTTGAGAGAAAAAAAACTATTCCAGGTCAAATGCAACTATACAATACAATTATACAATGCAGTCATCTCCTCAGTTGCAGTACTTCATGGGAGCATCAGTATGTTTTAATAAAATATGATCATCAGTTCCAGTGTTGTAAAATGAAAAAACTATGAAAACTTGGTGGGCCAATGACATTTCTCTGGGCTTTTTTTGCAGAAAAAGTCCAGTTCCCATAGTTACTAGGAAGTGACATTTGAATTTTAAATTTAAAAGGCAAAATTGCTAGATATAGTCTATAAATATCGTAATAGGGTGAAAATGGCAGCAGAAGAACAAATTGAAATGGTAAATTCCAACTTATGCCTGGTCACTCTGTTACAACAGTATTTGAGGGCGATAGCTGGCAGTGGCAGCAAATGGGGGTGCATACTCCACAGCCGCCCGAATATTTGTATAGGACAGCCAGGCGCTGGCTGAGAAAAACGTACCAACGTCACAGCTGTTGCAGCACTGGTATAACCACTTCAGGGCCGTGCTGTTTTTATACATATTGCAGTCCTGAAATGGTTAATTTCTTTAGATTCGAAGAGTTTAAAACACTTTACATTTTCTTTAGAACCACCCAGTATTGCAAGCTTCCAATGGGTCTAGGTACAAGATTCAGACCACTGCTACTCATTTTTTTTCAATAAAAATTTTGCTTCTAAATTCTGATATGAAAAAGCAAGACCAACATGTGAATATAAAAATGGCACAACCATGGCGAAAAAAAGTTGGTAAAATGGAAAGCAATTATGCCACCTTGGGAAAAGTTCCTACTCCTGTTTCCCTACTATATTACAACGATATAAACCAGGTTTACAGAGGTGAAAGTTCTCCCAGGAAGATGTCAAGTTTTATATCGTGGAGAAATGTGCAAAGAAAAGATTTAATGGCTTCACTTCATCCGTGTTGACATATTGCAAAGGTATGTGAAGTGGCCCAGAGCAGCTTTATGTGAAAGTATTAGTTATTATTCTTTATAAAAAACGTAATATATAAAAGTTCAACCTTTCACAGGCCACAAGTATAATTTTGTACACAAGAACAATGGCCAAAACTTGTTAATAAAGTTTACCTGGATTCTGCCATCATGGCGGACGCCTGGTATAAAAGCTGGGTTTGATGGTCTGTGTTAAATGCTCTAGCATAAGCCACATTGTCAAGAACATCACTGCCAGACAACCCATACCTATTAATAAAAAAACAAACCACAAAATATTAATTACAGCCAGAAAAAAAGGATATTTCATGCTTACAAAAACAAATGTCTAAGTCTGAGCACGCTACTAGTTCAGTGATGACAGGTGACAGAGCTGAAAGGGAAAACAACCTGGCTGTGTTTTTAAAGCTGTCCTATTTTGCTGAGGCCAAGTAATATAAAAACTCTGCATTGCATACATCACATGAGCATCAGCAACACGTGTGTTTAAAGCAAACTTCTATGGATACATTCGTAAATCGATTACATCAGCTTCTGCCAGCTATTTACACAGGGCTGACCTTTCCAGGTGCCATTAAGTTCATTGTTTGTCATCTGTCGCTCTGCTACGTATGACCGATTTGAATGAGGAGGCTACCTTGCTAAAGAACTCCGACATCAACATGTCATGCTTTGCGGCAGGAGATTGGGAGCATGGTATACACTATTTTTAAGTACTAGCTGGTGTCTTTAGCTGCTATTATAAGTAACTTTGTGTTTCAACCTGCCCTAGAAACCCAGTAGACTTCTAATGGTGGTCTACCCATAAATAAGTAGGGACCATAATTTAGTACACACATCCAAGACATGCGTTGAGAAGAGCCTAGAGATAAAAAGCACCAAACGCTATGGAAATTTTTCATATAATACATTGAACTAATTCCGGATACTTTCTCTATTGGTCCCCTCACAGCTTTTACACACATTAGTCCTTTAAACCTTCATTTCCTAAAATAATCCCCATCCTTAACTCTCACTCTAACCTCTCCCACTGAAGACTGCAGAGACCAAGTGGCCTAAGGATGGACTGGTCAAAAATATAGCCCTTCAGCTCTGCATGCTTACCCAATATTAATTCCCGATTTACTGGAGGCAGCAAAGTACTTGTGCTGGAACCTAGTTCCATCTATCCGTTTGGTATCTTGTCACCTGTTGTGCCCCTTTGCCCCACAAAACACCCACCCTTATCCATACACCATTATGCCATCAATGCTATGCATTTTTATCTTAATTTGATCTATAAGAAAGGAGGAAAACCCCAATACACAGGAAAAAATAAATCTGAACTTTATTTTTTAATGAATCTATATTAATACAACAGATTTCAACAAAGATTCATCCAGTCACTTTCTCAGCAATACTCCATACAGGTTTTGGAAGCCTTCGCATAGCTTATGTAGCGATATTAGAATCGTTGGATATATTGTACTTTAAATGCACAATACATTTCTGATATTAATGACTGTCTTCCCGTTTACATAAATGTATTGCACTAATCGTACAAAATAAAAATACTGAAATAGCATACAATACCTTTCAGCAACAGCAAGCAACCTTTCTGGTCGAAAAGTGCCCTCTGTGTCTATGTACATGGCTTTTCCTTCACCACCACCTTTATCAATGGGGAGCTGAAAAAAATACAAACGGTAATACATTTAAATATATACAATGCCATCTTTCTAAAAAGTATGATACATGTACAATAGTGACCGCACAAATTGGTTTCTAAAGATCTTCCCGGAGTTACCTAGTTTGAGACCAGTAGCCGTCAGTGACAGCTCAGACTCTGTGCTAGGAGTGCGCTTCATTACACAGGTATACATATAGGCCACATTTATGTGTACGGGCATGTGGGAAAGGGTTCAAAATTTCTTAGCCAACTTAATAAAATTTGTCAGAGTCCTGTGAGCACTTACCTGACAGGTCACTGCCAATGTGTGGCACAACTGAGTCTTTCCTGTGCGGAACTCCCCAAACATCTCTGTAATTGACCCCGTTTCAATACCCCCTGTTTAAAAGAAAAAAAATAAAATAAAAAATATAAGTACACAAAACCATTAATGGAAAAAAGGGCCTCAGTCATGAAGGGGTTAAGGGTCCCATCATTTTTATTAAAATATTCTGAATCAAAAGCTGAGTTTTGTTTTTTTATTAAATATGGAATGAGCAGTAATGGATGCCAATTACATTTGGAATTTTAAGAATTCTTTACAGTTAGAGCTGTGAAAATGTGGAATGGACTCCCCCAGGAGCTAGTCCTAGCTAGCTCAGTTAAAATCTGGATGTATTCCTAAATGCACAGAATATTACTGGATATTGAGTTCTTATAGGTATATTAACCCCTTCATGACTGAGGCCCTTTTTTCATTTTTTGCACCCATGTTATATTCCACATTTTAGGCCTGAAAATGACGTAAAACCCCCCAACATTATATATTTTCTGAATGCCAAGACCCTATAGAATAAAATGGTGGTAGTTGAAAATTTTTATGTTGCGCAATATTAGCGCAACTCCTTATTAAACCCCAAAATTTAGTGACAAAATTAAATGCCCCAAAACACAACAAATTACCCATTTTTTTAAATAAAATATAAAAGATGAGGTTACAACGAGTAAAACGATACCCAACATGCCCAGTTTACAGATTGCGTGCGACCGTGAAACGGCGAAAAACTGCAGTACCCCAAAAA